CTAATGACAGGAAATTTATATTTTTATTTATTTAATAAATTTGAGTACTTTTGCTCTAGATATTACAAATCTAAAAACATTCAGTGACTATCAATTCACAATACAATGACTGGTTTGAATAAAAAGATAACAACTGTATTTTGCACACTATGCTCAAGGACCTTGGGCAAAAAAGCACCTAGGGTGATAATGCCAGGATTTATGCTAGGTTTTGTAACCTACACCCTCATTTAATCTTCTTGACAATTTTATGAGATAGATATTATCCCCACTTAATTTTGATGGAAACTGACATTCAGACAGAGAACACTTCATGGAGGCTAAAGGTTTGAATTGTCACATGAAGGATAGGCAGACATTTGGTGGGTGTGGAAGGTTCTGGGGTTGAGACATTCCTGGCAAAGAAAACAGCTTATTAAAAGCATAGAGGCTCAGAGAACTTGGCAAGTTTGGAGAATGTCAAGAAGGTCATTAATTGTTGGATTTCAGGTTGTGTGAATGGGACTAATAGTATGAGACTGGGTAGATAGGTAGGGAGGGGCCTGTTCAGGAAAACCTCTGTACATCAAACTAAAGGATTTAGATTTTTATCTTAATGGTGGATATTTTGAACAATTTTTAGAATAGTTCTAGATTCGTGTTACACATAATTTATAATTTATGAATGTGTAATAAGACTTAACAGAGAAACAAGGAAATCGGAAAGGAAGAATTTAGTCTGAAGAGGAAGAAACATTACATAAGAACCTCAGGTCATGGTGGGGATTCATGAAATGTCTCAAGTATGAAAGAGGAAGAGTCTAAGATGACTCTTAGGAGTCTTACTTGGAAGCAGAGTAACAGAGTGTCATTAACTAAAAAAATATATATATATATATATGTATGTATGTGTGTGTGTATATATATGTATATATAGATAGATATATAGATATGTATATGTATACAAAATTTAAAAAAAAAAAAAGAGGGACTTAACCTAGAAAAAGAAAATGAATTCAGACTTAAAAGTTTTGAGTGACGGTGCTTGGGGATGCCATCCTGTGGTATGAGGGTATAATGGTTGGACCTCTAAAGGAGCATTTTAACTAGAAATTATGAGTCATCATCATACAAAACAGTTGAAAGCATTGGAAGTAGATGAGTTGTTGAGGGAGAGGATGCATTATGTGTATAAAAAGATACTTAGAAACAGCCCTGTAAATTAATAGTAAAGCCCAGTAAAATAAAGGGAACAGGGGAATTTTTCGTCTCTTCTTATCCTCAGAGGTAGACATATCGATCCATGGAACAGAATAGAGTCCAGTTTTGTGTGGTATGGGTGGAAATTAGATTGCAGTAGGTAAAGGAGCAAAAGATACCAAAAGTAACAATGAAAGTGAGAAATAATGAAGCTAGTTGAAGGGAAGGAAGTACAAAGCTTATTTTATCCTTCCTCCCTTTTTCCCACGGAAGATAGGAAAAATCTGAGAATATTTGTGTTCCAAAGAAAGCCAGTTTAGGAAGGAAAGATTTTTAGAGCAGCAGTCCCCAAACTTCCCAGAACCAGGGACTGGCCTTATGGATGATAATCCTTCTGCAGACCAGGGGATGGGGGGCTTTCATCCTGGGATGACCCAACTGTACCACATCCTCATGCACCCCCTTTCCACCACTGCCACATGGTGATGTACAATAAAACTATCAGAACAATAGGGTTCCCATTCCCATGATAATCCAATATTGCAGCCAATTCAACAGGAAGTGGAGCCCAGGAGCAATGTGAGTGATGGGGAGTGGCTGCAAACCCAGATGAAGCCTTACTTGCCTGCTGCCTACCACTGCCATGGGGCCTGGGGTCAGGTGGGGAGGGGATAGTAGGTCATAGATGGGCACCCATCCCAGCCCTAGGACTTGGGACCCCTTGTTTAGACAAACTAAAAATTGGATGCTGGAATGGTGTTGACAGACAAAGTATAAAGAGTTAGGTTATGGGAGAATCTCAGGTCAATATACAGTTTACGAGAAGAGAAGCTATAGTTCCATAGTCATCTTATAGACCATCATTTCGTCTCAATAGAAGCAGACATCAAAAAGTTGTCTAGTTTTTGAGCAACTGCATAATATAGTGAAGAGCCGAAGTCTAGAGCCAGATAAGCATGGGTTTGTTTGAATTCTAGTTTCATCACATAGGACCTATGACATCTTTGTTTAATCTCTTGGTATGTGAGGTTTCTCATCTGCAAAGTGGAGATAATAATAGTACTTACAGGGTTATTATCATGACCAAAATGAGTTACATTTGTCAGGAAATCACTGTGGCATATAGCAAGTACAATATAGGTTATTTACTAACCATTCATAAAGATGCCATTAGATATTATTCATATGAGATAATTTGGGATGTATTGTCCCTAAATATTTTATTTTACATCAGCAAAAGCATTGTACAACATTTTGTTGAACACAAAATTTTTTATGACTGGGAAAAGAATTACTAAAATTATGTTTAAGTTTGGCATAAAAGCACTTCCTTTATATTGATTAAAATCTATCTCAAGTAGAATGGGCCATTCACCTGCCTTGCGAAGTATAACAAAGTGGAAATAGTCTTTCTAATTTGAAAACCTTGCAGGACTCATGTTCTTTGATCTTCATACATTTGTTGATGTTTTTCTTTTGAGGTTTACCAGTAACCATCTATGAAATTGATTCTTCTTAATTTGCATCTTTTCGTAAAAAGAAAATACTAAAGGAAGAAGTCTGGTTAATGAAAGCCTCCAATGAAATAAATTCTATTTAATGATGCTTCATTTTATATTTTCAAATTTTATATTTGGCTTTTCAAAAAAGTAAAATAAAAACATGAACTAACTTAATTTCTACATCTTTTTTTAAGTCCTAATAATCTAAGCATATTCCCAAAAGATAGTAAATATTTTATCAAGTCTCCTTCTAGTACTGTTAATGTAGAGCCTGAAGCAAATTATTGCCTTCAGCTTTTAGTCTCAGTACATAAAATATAATTTTGAAATACTATATATTTCCATGAAAAGATGTTAATGGAAGTTGAAGTACTTGTACTGTTGCATTTTTTATCTGGTTTTGACTTGGAATTTAATACCATATTTCGATAGGCCTGAGAAACCTTTTTAAAAAAAATAAATATTAATGTTCCTTTTGGAAGATGTAACATGCTAAATATTAATTAACTTCTTTGACATTTTCTTGTTTTTGACCTAGGGCCTTTTGGAGAACGAGATGATCAACAGGTGTTTATTCAGAAAGTTGTTCCCATCACTAACAAACTATTTGTAAGACTTTCATCTACTGGAAAAAGGTAATACTCTACTGGAAAAATATTTTTACAGTAAATGGCAGTCACTTTTGTCTTTAAAACATATGGATAACTTGGCAGATTGATAAGAGAGTCTACCAGAAACAAATTGTCAAGAGAGGTCTGTTTGAATCTTATGATCATTACAACTTAAAAATTAAGACAGCTGGTTCCTTCGTGCAGCAGTAATGCACTACTGAAGAGGAGCTGGATTCTACGTGACGACCACGATTGAATCCTTGGTCTGGTCAGGGCAAACCAAGTACCCAAATCTGATGGGCTAGAGGACAGGAAGAAGGGCATTGTGGTATGACCAGACCCATGGAGAGTGCTCCTCTGCCTTCTCAAGTGCTATGTCACGAGTCAAGAAAAAATTACTTTTGGAAATTAAGCCAGTGTACTTACTGCTTATTGTCTAGTATTTAATACTTTTTAGTAATAGCTGTCGATAGTTAGGATTAATGATGAAAAAGGACAAGAACACCAAAATTTTTTTTATGGCCAAACTTAGATATTTCTTGTAAACATTGAGTTTCTTCACTACAAAAAAGAAAATAAAAAAGACTTTATTCATTTTATAACATATAAATCTGTATACATTATTTATAATCTCTAGTAAAACCTATTACAGATTTTCAGACAATCAGTACCCCTTCTAAAGTAAAAATGATCAAGCAATTAAGTGTTCAACAATAGCAACTACAAAAATGTCCATCAGTAGTAACTATATGTATGGTCTCAGTGTTTGCAGTGTAGTGCCCATGTTTCAGGTCCTATTTTAGATGTTTCTTTTCCTTCCGTGTACTTTCACTTAGAGAGAAACTCCACGAGTTCGGAGTCACTCCCTGAGCACAGCACTCGCACAGCACGAAGGCTGCCCTTCTGCTGCCATCAGCGGCACTGGCCCGGGCAGCATTCTTCTGCTTGCCTCTGATTAAATGATCTCTGTTCAGACTTCAAGTGATGAAGTTAATGGCAGACGGCCGAACTGAATTCTAACTTTTCCACTTATTAGCTATGTAAATTCAGCTGTGGTTATTTCCCTTAGTTCTGGCTTCTTGATAAAACTAGGTTCAGCTATCCTGGCAGGATGTCATAGGATAAAATGAGTAAAAAACATGATATATCTTGCATTGCCCCTGACTATCCTAGACGGTCAAGAGGCTAGTTTCCTTTTCCTTTTCCATTGACTGAAGTTTTTTGTTTGTTTGTTTTGTTTTTTTTAAGAGGTTTTTTGCTATAGGGTGCATGCGCTTGCCAGACAGTGAGACAGAGAGATAGAAAGCGAGAAATCACCCCCCAGGGGGGATGGTCACGCCGCAATCCCTTCTCCTCCATTCACCTCTCAGGATCTTGGGCACGCACGCACACACACCTGGCGTGAGTTTAAGCCACCAGGTCCGGGACTCGAACCACAGTCGACTACATGGGAGTCCAGCGACATAGCCATTACACTAACTGCTCGTCCCTCCATTGACTGAAGTCTTTAAAAGTGATGGACTTCTGGCCTGATACAAATTGAGCTTTTAACATGGCTGTCATTTTAAAATTAAATGATTTCTTATGGTTTATTTTTCTAATGAGAGACAGACACATGGACACATGGGGGACCTTGACAGGGTCTTGCTATACCACAGATCTCTCCCTAACTTTCTAGTCAGCCAGGACTCACAGGTGAGCCCGGTGTGCTCAGGTCTACCTGGGATCTGAACCTGGGGCCTTCCATAATGTGTCCATTATCATCCAGTGACACCCTACTGCCTACACTATGCAGCAAACCTAAAACCAATTTTTTTTTTTTTTGGAGAGATCTTTTTTCCCCCCATTGGGCACATCTGCTCACCGTGTGCTCTTGAGACAGAGACAGAGAGACAGAAGGCAGATCGCCTCCCAGGGAGGATGACTGCATTGCAGTCCCTTCTCCTCCAGCCTCCTCTTGGGATTTTGGGCATGTACACACACGTGCCCGGAATGTTTCAAGTGGCGGGGCCTGGAGCTCGAATCACTGTCAGCCATGTGCGTCTAAAGCCTTAACCACTACGCCACCTGTGGTCTGTGGTTTTTTGCATGTCAAATGAAAAAAGCATAATTTTTATTAGTAGCATTAAGAAGGCTACTGCTTTCCACTTTAATGTTGCTTGGTGTTATTGATATTTAAAATTTTTTTTTGGATGTCTTTACTTCAACATGTCTCGTATGACAATAGTGAATAAAACTCTTTTGAGAGATGATACATTTTCTTTCCATCAAAGGTCATTGCATGTAGTCATTAGTAACTGTTAAAATGAATTAATTACAGAAAATGATTTTTTTTTTCTTTAGAGAGGGTTTTTTGCCATACGGTGTATGTGTTCACTATGGAGACAGAAAGCGAGAAATCACCTCCCAAGGGGGTTGACCACGCTTCAGTCTCTTCTATTCTCTAGGGATTTGGGGCATGCACACACATGAGCTGGCGTGAGTATTAAGCCACTGGGTCCGGTACTTGAACCACAGTTAGCTATGTGGGAGTCCAGCAACATGACTATTATGCCATCTGCTGGTCCCCAGAAAATGATTTTTGTGTAACTAAACTATATTTTTCGACAGTTTATTTATTTATTTATTGACAAGCAGGTGGAGCAGTGGTTATGGTGCTGGACACTCCCACATGACCGACCACGGTTCCAGTCTTGGACCTGGTGACTTGCTTTCTTGCTTTCTCTCTCTCTCTGTCTGTGTGTGTGTGTGTATGTGTGTGTGTGTGTGTATGTGTGTATGTGTGTTGTGTGTGTGCGTATGTTTCTCTCTCTGGTCAAATTAAAATAAATGAATAAATAAAATTATAAAAAATAAAATGTATTAGGGACCTATAATATACTTAAGACCAAATTGGTCATTTGTTTTTTCTTTTTCTCTCTCTCTTTCTGTTTCTCTTTTTCTTTCTTTTCTTCCTTACTAAAGAGGGACAGTGAGAGACAGAGAAAATGAGAAAGTAAGCCGCCAGATCTAGGACTCCAACTGCAGTTGGCCATGTGGGAAACCAGTAACCTTAACCACCACTCCACCTGCTGGTCCCCCCAAATTGTTATCTTAATAAGTATTATAAATCACTGTGATTTTAAATAAAGAAGCTGCTATGTATAAAATGTGATGTCATAATATTCTCTAATAATGTATTATTATTATATCTTTGTTCAATTCTCCTGTCCCTTCTGTTATTTCAAACAGTAGTAGTGTATTATAATCAACTACAGTTTCTGCATGATAAATTTTATAATTTTTTTAAAGATTTATTTGTATTAGTTTTTAATTTGACCAGAGAGAGACAGAGAAAGGGAATGTGAAAGCAAACCACCTGGTCTGGGATTTGAACTATTGTTGACCATGTGAAAGTCCAGTGCCCCAACCATTACGCCATCTGTGTAATTTTTAAGATTACAATTTTTAAGATTATGATTCCAGAGGTGAAGATATAGTTACAAAAATGACAAGCAGCGAGGTGGTATGGTGATGAAAGCACTGTACTCCCACATGATTGACTGTAGTTTGCCACCCGGACCTGGCGGCTTTCTTTCTCACTTCCCCACCCTTCTCTTTCTGGTGAGCGCATGTGCCCTGTAGCAAATTAAAAGTATTAATAAATAATTCTTTTTTAAAAAAAATAACAAGCAGAAATTACTTTGTAGGATTGAGTAGAAAAAGCAACCCTTTATGAAGCTATTGTGAACTAAACCTTAAGATAGTTTAAGCTCAGACCCACTGGAGCAGTGGAAGTTAAAGTGGCTGTATCCTGCATGGCTGCCTGCATGGTTTGAGTTCCATACGCAGCAGCTTGGAAACCACAGTAAGCGCACGTGTATGGGTGCTCAAAATCCCAAAAAGAAATAGAGAAGAGACTGTGGTGGGACCTTTCCCCATGAGGATACTTTCTCTTGTACCCTCCTTCCCTGTCTC